CCTCCCTCCCTTCCTTCCTTCCTTCCTTCCTTCCTTCCTTCCTTCCTTCCTTCCTTTTTAATGCTTCTTTGGGAACAAAATATCCTACTTCAAACTCTGGCTGGGTGACCTGCACTCCACCACACATGGACAGAAGTTCTAGATAACAAATGGCTTTCTCTTTGGATTTCAGGGAATTCCCACACAAATTACCTGCTAACATGCCAATGGAATGTGCCTTCTGGGTTCTTGTGATGACTGTTAGTCTAGAGGTTGTTGTGTCTCATTCCCTGCACAGTGCCTTGTTCATGTGGCAGTTATAACTCCTTCAACACATTCTGACCAAGTTCTTCCCAACTTCTCCCACATCCGATCTGGGACTAGATATCATGACAAGTTTAGCCTTTCTACCCTGTCTTCTGTACCTCCCTGAGGATTCCTAAGGTACACTGTGTTCCTAATATGGACTGATCTGTGAGTGCATAGAGTAGGGCTTTTATTCATTTCGGTCTGAAGTATCTCTATCAATTAACACTATTCAAGATTATTTAATCAGAAAGAGTGAGCAATTAATGATGTCTACCGTGGGAACAGGAAAGGAGGTTATTTCAAAACTGCCCTCTTTGCTAATATTGATTGGCCTTTGAACCACCAGAAATCTTAAGCTCTCTCATATAAATGCCTGTTAAGTCATATACAGGGAGGGGCAAAACTAGGTTTACAGTTGTTCATATGGAAAATAATACAAGAATAATAATACAAGAATAAAATCTGCATTTTGCATACTCACAACTGTAAACATACTTTTGCCCCTCGCTGTATTTGTGCAAATGAGTCTTTGAGCCAAAGTGCAGACTTTTTAAATTTTAAATATATTTTATTGATTTTTTTTACAGAGAGGGATAGTTAGAAACATACATCGATCAGCTGCCTCTTGCACAACCCTACTGGGGATGTGCCCGCAACCGAGGTACATGCCCTTGATCAGAATCGAACCTGGGACCCTTCAGTCCGCAGGCTGATGCTCTATCCACTGAGCCAAACCAGTTAGGGCCAAAGTGCAGATTTTTTATCCCCCCCGGTTAAACTTGCTACTTTGAGTCCATTGTTTGAACTATCTTTGCTTCTCTCCAATATATTGATCATCACTCCCAGCTTCTAGATCAGCTACAGAGTTGAAAAGATACTTTCTATATCTTTCTCTAAATCATTGATATCAATGTTGAGTAGATCATGTGCGGTGTAAGCATAACGGAAATAACAGCAACTGCAAAACAAAAACAACAATAACAGCTGACACGCAGTGAGTGCTTTCTATAAGTCAGTCACTGGGTAAAGCATTTTATATCTTCACATTGTTTTTCTTATTTTTATCTTTACAACAAATCTACAAATTGATCCTATTATTATCTGTATTTTACAAATGAAGAAACGGGCACAGAGAGGTTTGAGTAACGTGGGTAATGTGGTCACCCAGTCAGTACGTGAACGTTCTTTCAGTGTCCTGGCATGGCGATGCCTCTGGGCCTGGAAAACCACCCAGCATTGGCTCCATTTTTGTCTGCCTTTCTGCATGAAGCGTTTTCTCTCCTTCTAATAGAACAAGTAGGACAAGATGAGGGATAATTACTTCTCTCTCTCATCTAATAATCTGCGCCCTCTACTCTGTGCTAATGGGCTCATCACTTCCTTGTTTTTCTTCCCCAAGCACGGCCACAAGTGCCGCTAGCGTTTCTCCGTGTTTCGGTTTGTTCTGGGCCTCCATCTTTCTGACATTGTTCTAAGAGTTTCATCTCTCATTGGCACCCCTTTCCCGCTTGTGCAGATGTCCATTAACATTCCATCCCACGGGAGGCCCACAGAGCATCTTTGGCTTTTGAGAGGCCTCTCGCCCTTTTCTTCCTAGCCTTCGTAAGTGGTCAAAGATCATGAGATGGAAATTTCATTTTTAAAACCTCTCATCTCTTTTGAGCAAAAGTTCTTTAAAGAGATCTTGACTCTCTCATGAACTCTTTGGAAGCTTCTTTCCTAAAATCTAGGCCAAGTAGAACTGATTCTGCTCCTCTTTCATCATTAAAATCTAGAAGGTAAGTTTTTCATCTCCAAGTTCCTCAGACTTTTGCTCCTGCAACCTATTTTTCCTTTTCTAATATTAAGACCAAAAGGAATAGTCCTTTATTTTTGCTTTTATACTCAGAGAGGTGGGTGAAAATATATGATTTTTTAAATAAGAAACATCATAATGGTTTCAGGAGAATGTGATTCAGTGTATTGACAATGTTTTTATCTTCTTTAGTGCCTGCTTTTCATATCTGTTTTTTCATCAAACAGTTCAAATGTTGTGGTTTGGTCGATGGAGCTTCTGACTGGGGACATAATTTTCAACCCAATTCTGAGTCGTGTGAATGTTCAGCTCCATCAGATTCCCCATGTACACAATATGAAGGAAAATCTGTTTACCAAGAGGTAAGAACAAATCAAACTTGTCACAGTAAGTGGTTCTGTTCATTTTTTTTTTTCAAAATGAAAGACTTCACAAAAATTTAAATTGCAGCAATTATAATGGGAATCATGACATAAACGTCCCAGGAATTTCCCAAATAAAAAAGAAATCCTTATTTAAAGATAAAAGCCAATATAAAAGATGAAAGTATTTCATTTCTTCTATGAGCCTGGCAATCATTTAAACTCAACTCTAATAGATCAAAGCAACACTCTGCTTGCAAGGGGAAGCAACGTCCAAATTAACAGATACATGTTTATGTTGTCCTCTTTTTGGTGACTTTAATTATTATTCTCCTCCATTTTTTTTCTATTTTAACATAAATTCTAGAAATCTATATTTTCACTTTAATTTTAAAAGTGAAGCTTCCGTTTTCTAATCAAAGATTCCTTTTCTCAAGTAACTGTATCAGCCTAAAGAAAGGACTTGGCCTTTAGTGGTTTCAGCTCTGGATTTATGTTTTATTTACTGCTTTGTCTCATTAGTGCTCCAATTAAAAGTTGCCTCAGATATTTAAAGTCAATTGAAAAAGCTGGGTTTATTTTTTATGTGTTGTAGATGTCCTATTTAACTATGTCACTTGTGGATGTCAATATATGCATGTCATATTTCTTACTGCTTAATTCATCCCATATTTCTTGACTACCTCCTATCATCCATTGGAGACCAATTTCTGTGCAGGGCACAGGGTCAGCCCAAATAGGGAGGAGAGAAAGATAACTCGGCAACTTCTATTTAATGAACTATTGGTATTTCTTGGATAGGGGCAAGCATAAGTGTTATGGGACACCATCTAATTCAGGGTTGGAGGTACAAGCTATAGTTTCCTAGAGGACATGATATCTGCCTGTTGCCACAGGGTTTTATATAATTTTTTCCTTACGCCTGGAAGAATTGTGTACAGAAATGACAATTGATATGAATGATATTAATGTTTCATTTATTTGCTATTATACTTGGGTGCCTACTATGTGTCAGACAGACCCTTGTTAGAATCAGATAGACTTCTGGCTCCTCAAGGAGATTATAGTTAGATGGAAGCGAGATCTATAACAGCTATGTGATTCAATAAATTAATTTCTGTAATGCCTTAAGATTATTTTCAATTTAGTATTGGCTTAGTAATGGCTACTGAGATGAATTACATTTCCGGACATAGAAAGTATCTCAGGAGAAACGTCTCTCCTGCTGACTAGCACATCGCTTTTACTAATCTTATCACAATGAAGGAGACTGTGTTCTGAAAGGGAATTTCGGTTACTGGTGTTTAAAGTAACAGGTGGGGAAGAAGTTATCTATCCGACTACACAGCTACCCTGTCTTTCATTGTCCAAGTAATACCAGTAAAAATATTTTATTCTTACTTTTTATATTTCTCCCTGCTCCCTTCCTCTACCTAATGTTAGTGACATGGTATGTATGAGGAAGAGAGAAATAAATATGGTATAAGCAAATGTAGTTTCTGCTTGGGATGATGAAAATGGTAAATTCAATAGTTGATTGCAGATTGTTGTGTTCTGGTAAAGATTCAATGCAAAGATGTTTTTCCTTAGGATACATTTTGAAAAGTCCTACCATTATCCTAAAAAATAATAGACATTCCCTCCAAATTCACACATAATTCAGCTGAATACAGGGTGATAGCTTCACCAAGTTTCCCAACAGGATGGTCATAAATTCACAAAATACTTCCATCTGCCTTGTGTCATTTGCAAGAAGTCTGGAAAAATAAGAAATCTGAATGGCCATAATTTGTTTCTTCCCCCACCCCCCACCGCCTTCTCTTTTGCCAAGATAACCTGGTTATCTAAAGGGGATGGGGGAGAAAACTCCTCAAGCGTAACAAATATGACTCCATAGATCATTAATCGCATAGTTAACCCTAAATAATGTAATCACTTCTTCTAATGTTGACCACTTTGGATCAGATGAGAATGGAGAAACCCAGGCAGGAACAAAGGGGGAAAAAAACCTTATGGAAAACTTATATTTTATTTAACAAATAGCAATATTTTGCTAGCCCATTGAACATATAAGACTATTATGGGAATGAAATGTTTTCTGTCAATACAGATAATAGGACTATTACATTGTGCAGTATTTTTCATTTTTAAAATTATTCATGTAATTTACAATTTTTGGAATTTTTAGGTTGGTCTGAAATTTTTTAAGGTTGGAATTGCATACTGGTTTGAATAAATTAAAAAAATGTGGTAGAGAGATAACTTCCAAAATTCTCCTTTTTTATCTCAATTAAGGGCATAATAGTGGACATATGATTTTTAAGCTAAAAATTACTGATAAGTATTAGAAAGGGAATTTTTATAAACCTCCTTTTAAAAGTGAAACATTTCACTATAATTAACTGAAACCCCAACCAGAGAACTGTGGTTGTAATCTGCAGATTACAAACCTAAAAATATACATAGCCAATGTCATAACTCTAAGTTGTCAGTTAAGATAAAATTATTAATTATTATTTATAACTAAAGATCCCTAGATTCAGCAATGATGTAGCTGAAGCAAAATTTTGCTCCTCGAGTGCTTGCTATAACCTTTCAGATGGGGGGAGGAGTTTGAAGCAGAGGAGATAATCCAATTCCTTTTTGTTAAATATGTTTCTTGGTAACAGTGCAAAAAATCAACCCACTGGAAAAAATATCTTAATTCTGATAAGGTCATCAAAATGTGATTAAAGTTAACTTTATGTATATATTTTTTAACAGGCATGCATTAATCGTATAAAAGACTTACTTAAAAAAAATCTCCTCGTAATTATTGGATTAGCATTTGGAATAGCATTTATTGAGGTACAGTATAACCTTTCATTAATTACTCTATTTATTCCCTTGCTTGTCCATTAATCCTGCTAGCACATTTATGGTGAGCCAAGTAAAAACCAGGTGCTTCAGACAAGCACTGGGTACCAAGTGCCAAGGGCCAGCTTCTCCCTCTGACAACCTTGAGTCTGGGGAAGGGATTACAATTGTATGAATTGAGCATGGCTAAGCCTATTTTTGAATGATCTCTCTACTGGGGAATACATTTTGAATTAACTTCTACATAGTTCTTAGTCCCACATATCGTTTTCCCATTGGAATCTAATGTAAGAGTTAAAATTAGAAGAAAGAGCCCAGACAAATCCAAAACACAGTCTTTACATTTTCTTATCTCTCCTCCTGATTTTGAAAGAGAAAATAAAAACTGAACTCAAGAGTGTGGGGAGCTGTTTTCCTGCTATTCCATTCCACAGAAATCTAATTAGTTTTAAAATTTTGAAGCAGTTGCCTTTAATTTTCTCATTGAGTAAAAATTCTCAAATGTACTCTCATCAATTTAATTATTGATGTTGAAAACAATTCCTGAATAGAGTTTTTATCTGGATGGCCTTACTTGGCATTTTTTAAAAGAATCTGAATTATACTTTTTACATGGCCTAAAAATGTTTGCCAAATAGATGAAATAAAACGATCTCAGGGAAGGGTTTTTGGAATCATCTCAACTCTTGGTGAATTTAGATATCAGGTGAGTCAAATTCCCTTGCATCCTGTGCAGGGCATTGGCAGGAGTCCTGAGGAGGTGTGGGGTGTCTCTGGTTAACGCCTCTGAGGGCTGGTGAGCTCAGCTGAGCGGCTGCTGCTTCACTTGCATGGAATGCTGTACAGCGTCCTCCTTGGGATTTCTGGTACCTTTTTACCTCTTGTGCCACATCAGTGCCAGAAAGGAATTTTAGCTGGGACTGAAGCAATTTAGTGTCCTACATGGTCATTAAGGTTACCGGTGGAATTCTCGGCCAATCATTAGAAAAGGGGTTGGGACAATTAGCAGTAAATTGGGGTGTTGAGTGTTCTTTCTGGTAGCCCAGAATAGTTCTACATATGAAGCATTCTCTGCTGGAAACATGGATGTCCTTCTCTACGTCTGATATATGATCAAAGTTGAATAGTGTGATTTCTAGACTATATGTAGATATGATAATTGGCTTAAATTTAAAGTATTAAGTCTATTTCTCTTGATTCTTCCTTTTTCGAAATGTCCTTTATTTCTCTGCTTTCTATTCTGGGTTAATGTTAATTTAGAAATATGAGCTAGTGGCCCTAGAGGTGAGAAAGAAATCACACACACATACACTCACATATTTTCATAAGTCACACACACATGTGTTGCAAGAATAGACTTTAAATGAATGGTTGAAAGAGCAGGCTTTAAATGAAGTATTCAATGCAAGTATCAATATGTATCAAATTCCATATTAGACTCAAATTGACTATGATTGGCTACAACCCACAGATGCTTTTAAGAAGTTTCTCAAAAGGAAAGCCAGAGAAAATAAGGACATAATCAACTGGGGAGTTTGATATCTCATACAGTGGAGCCTTGACTTACGAGTGTCCCGACTAACGAGTTTTTTGAGATACCAGCTGTCTCTCGACCGATTTTTTGCTTTGAGTTGACAGAATAATTTGAGTTAATGAGCTCCTTAATGAGCTCGGTCTCGGAACAAATTAAACTCGTAAGTCAAGGCCCCACTGTATATCATAGTCAAAGGCATTGCCAAGAATCTAAATACATGTAATGGAAAGTAAGATTACAAGAGGAGTAACATAGTCTATGAAATTGGTATATCCATGTGTTTGTTACATATTTAGATATTTTATTGAGTGTTCTAAATATATGATTAGGGAAATACCTTTTTATGGGTATGAAATTTATATATGTTAATATCATAAAATATAACATTTTTAGTTATGCCAGTTAGTGTGATTTCTAGACTATATGTAGATATGATAATTGGTTTAAAGAACTATAGCCTTGCCCTAACCGGTTTGGCTCAGTGGATAGAGCATCAGCCTGCAGACTGAAGGGTCCCAGGTTCGATTCCGGTCAAGGGCATGTGCCTTGGTTGTGGGCACATCCCCAGTAGGGGATGTGCAGGAGGCAGCTGATCGATGTTTCTCTCTCATCGATATTTGTGGCCCTCTATCCCTCTCCCTTCCTCTCTGTAAAAGATCAATAAAATATATTTTTTAAAAAAGAACTATAGCCTTGAAAATAGTCTGATATTCGGCCTATAAAAATGTATCCAAAAATGTACATTAGTCTATCGCATATTCATTATTCTTAGTTGACTAACACTTAGGCCCGTTTCTAAGGCTTAATACCTAGGCCTTGTTTCCCAAGTTTACATTCAAGTAAACACAAAGACTCACAGAGAGAAAACATATCTCTCTAATAAATATTTTTAAGAAGGAAACAGGGGCAAATATCTCCATGCATAAAATATATTCAAACTCCATTAAAATATCATATGAAAACATGACCCTTTGACATTTAGACTGTTGACATTAGTCTGTTTATGCATAGGCTCTGATAGAGTGGGCCAATAGTCATTTTCAAGACTCTAAGTAAGACCACATACCTGAGCAATTCTTCTTAGAGAGGATGCTATGAATCTATGCAAAATGCTTTATTTTGCAAGAAAATGCTATAGACATTCTTGGAATTCTCATTATTCCAAGTTAAATAATCAGACCATCATAACATACCTCTCCGTATTTGACTATAGAACTTACAAGCACAAAAATGATCAGCACTTTCTCTTCTCATTTCAACTAAGAAAAAAGGGCACTGACACTGGTAGTCATCACTTTGTAGGATAAACGTTATCCTGACAGAAGGTCCCAAGAATAGCATAGTTGAGAGAGAAAAATGATAACTTTACATTTTTTTAGACTTTTCCAGAATAGGGGAACTCATGCACATTACGTATAGCAAGTTTATCCTGAGTCTTCGCATACATTACCATATGATGGATCTCGTTTTAATTACCTGCTATTTTTATGAACAATGATAAAAATTTTTTTCAGAGGCAGCGAAGTGCAAGAAAATGGGATATTAACTGTCTAGCCAGCTGATAAATATCAGGCTTCTATTTCAAGGATGTGACGATGAAAGATGATAGTTGCCTTATCTCAGTATTTTGCCCATGTTCTTTATTCTTTCCTGATACCTGTCTCCCAGACTTGAGGCTTGGGATCAAGGCAAAAAGACTAAATTTCAAGGCTTTTTGAAGTCATTCTAAAAGAATGACTTTGAGAAAGCTCTGAATGAAAATCATTATTTTTTTTCAGAGAGCTGGTGTCTGCTTTTTTTCTTTTTAATTTTTTTAAGGCGACAAATATTGGGCAGTAGTTCTCATCTGAAATGCATTTTCAGGAACAAATTCTTAAGCAGGACGTCTCAATATAGTAGGAGCACTTGTGACGACTCAGCATAAGTAGCAGCTCACCCTCCTCCTGCCTCCCCTCAAAGCAGGCTGGTGGGGAGGAAAACTTTTGATTGGTAAAACACACAGGTCCTTCTGTCATTTCTACATCAAAGCCACGGCATGCGAGTCACCAACTGCAAAGACACTTAGGGCAAGTTTTGAGATGCCCCATTCTTGGGAGAGCCACTTAATAAATGGGAAACTATGCCCCAGATTTTCAGCTGTGTTTGTTCACTTCAGAGGAAATTTCTAAATTAAGCTATTCTCCATAGATTTAGAAGTTTATTGTTGTGTTTTAAATGTTACTTTTTTTTTCACTCCTCTTGGCAATGCCCTCACTATGGCAAGAGAAATTCTAGACTCCTTGATTTGTATGCAGATGATCTAACCCAGAGATCATAGCTGTTTCATGGAAGCAATAGGTATATTGAGCGTCCAGAGGCCCGAGTTCCCCTGAGCTCTGGGGCAGATGCCCCACAGAAGGGTGTGTGTCCCCCAAAGTTGGAGTGCTCTGGGGGCAGCAGCTATTGAACAACCAGACTGGGCAAATTAGAGGTGGACTGGCAGCAGAAAACCCTGATTAAAACAGTTCACTCAGAGAACTTTCTCAATGCTCTCTTGTCCCATGGGAGTCTCTAATTTCCCAGGAAGAGAGATGACGTAGGTTAAAAAGATTAAAACTGTCCATAGCCAGAATCTTTTCCTATATAATGTTCTTTCTGTCTATTTATAATGCATTTTCCCTTGAATTCCATGTTAACTCTATTGTTTTGTTTTCTAGATACTTGGTCTGGTATTTTCTATGGTCCTGTTCTGCCAGATTGGGAACAAGTGAATCTGTGGATATGTCGAGCTATCATCAGTCAAGCTCTTTAAAATGGTTGCTTTGCCTTTGTAACTTTAAATATATGAGTGCTGTCTATGTTAGGAGCAGCTGTCTTATTCAAATTTCTTATTTAGCTAGACTTTAGTTATCTTCCAGACATATTGAATATACTTAGGATTTTAGTGATGCTAGAAAAGTAATATAAATGTGCATTTTTACTCATAATAAAAGTGACATTCTTTACATTGGTGCTTTTTTGTGTCCGATCATTGTGTTCAGATGGTACTGTGCTTAAAACATTCATCTGGAGCCAGCCAGGGGAATAGCCATCTCTGAGTGACAGGTAGTCAAGGCAGTGCATCTAGGCTCTTCAGAAGCAGCACTGTTTTGTGTGGTGTCTCAGCCATTAGTGATAAGATTAAGTCACAATTTGAAAGACTGAGAGAGTGGGCTGGCTCTTTGCTATTTATGCCAATGTCTACGGATGGCGTCTCTCTTTTCTCTCTATTTAGGGGACAAGAAGATGTGAGTGCCATCTTTCCACTGACTCTCTGATTCCTCTCTGGACGTTCTCTGGAACATAGTTACAACGGCTTCTATCTTTCTAGTTCTCACAGACATTTTTACATTCTACCTTTTCTTGAGGTATAAGAGACACACAATAAGGTGAACAATCTTAAGTATGCACCTGTGTACGCATGATGAGATCAGGATACAGGACACTTCCAGCACACCAGAGTGCCCCTGCATGCCACCTGCCAGTGCTATGACAGAGCAGACCATCCATAAGGGTCTCTTCCCCACTCTGTGCTCAGAGGCATCACACAGTGCTTTAAATCCATGGTGGTGGGAGTATTTACACGATAGAAACTGGCAAATGGCATACAATTGGGGATTTTTTTCCAAGAGCTGGTTGTTAAACAGTTACTAGTATGTCACCGCCCTTCTCAGCTAATACCTCCCCAAAGGTAACCACTCTTCTGAATTTATTCTATGGCCACAGATTCACTTTGCTTATTCTTGAACATTCTATAAATGGAATAGTCAAATTTGCACTCTGGCTTCTTTCTCTTCAACATTCTGTTTGTGAGGTTCATCTATATTGTTGCATGCAACTGTAGTTAATTTTCATTGTTATGTAGTATTTCATTGTAGAGGACTATATATCACAATGTATTTATCCATCCTCCTGTTGACAGGCATTGTTGGATTTGCTTCCAATTTGGCATTATTGTGAATAAAGCTGCTATAAACATTCTTGTACATTTTTAAGTCTGTATCTGCACTCCTCTTCTGAGCAGGAGAAAGAGGAAGAAAGGCAGTCATTGTCAAGTAGATGAGAGTGACCAGCAAGGAGTGGAAAACTTGAGGGAGTGCTGGCTGGGTTACACAGCCTGATTCTGTGCTCCCCTATTGATGGTAAAGGTAACTGTCCTCTGAGCACAGGCCATGTCCCAGAAACTCTACTTTTATTACCTCATTTCTTCTCACCACATTCTTATGAGGCAAATACTATCTATTATTATCCTCATTTTGCTGGTGAGAAAATAGAGAATTAGAGCTCTCAGCCCAGAGCCAAACCATTAGTAACTGGCAAAACTGGAACACAAACCTTGACTCTTGTCTCCCAAGCCTTGACTGAGAATCATTATTTGGCTTTCCCATGACATGTCTATTAATAAATTTTCCATATCTTATCTAATAATAGACAAACATGGTAATTGACCATACCTTCACTACACCTCCCATTGGCTAATCAGTGCGATATGCAAATTAACCACCAACAAAGATGGTGGCTAATTTGCATACCGCAGGCAGGGCAGGCCAGCGCCAGCCGCCATCTGGGCTCCCATGTGCCGCCTAAGCCCCGCTGCCAGCTGGGACCCCCGTGTGTGGCCCTGGGTGGCGGGGCTTGGCAGTGCAAACGCGCTGCCTAAGCCCCGCCCCAAGCAGGGACCCCCGTGTGTGGCCCTGGGCGGCAGGACCCTGCGTCCGTGATCATGATCATGATCGGAAAGCCGGGCTGCAGGCAAGGCAGCACCCTGGGACCCAGGAGCCGCCCTGCCTGCGGCCCGTGATCGTGATCATGATTGGGAAGCCAGGCCGCAGGCAAGGCGGCAACCTGGAACCCAGGAGCCCGTTGGCGAGGTCTGCAGGTGAAGCAGCGATCAAGCTATGAGGGAGAGGGTGGGGGCGCGGAAGGAGCTACAGGAGTAGCTCTGGCCAGAGACTGAAGACTCCCGCCAGAGCAAGGAGCAAAGACTGAAGGCTCCAGCTGCAGCGAAGACTATGTCCAGAGCGAAGATGGAAGGCGGTGGCCGGAGTGCAGGTCTGGGTCCCGGGTGCCAGAGGAAAACTGGTGCTGGCAGCCAGGGGAAAGAAGGCCTATTGCACAAATCTTCATGCAACAGGCCTCTAGTTGTATTATAATTACCTGTTCATGGTTTGCCTCTGTTAGTAAACTGCAAGTCCTTAAAGGCATTAGTTATTTATTTGCCATTATGTTCCCAGTACCTATTGTAGGGCTTGGCACATAAAGGGTACTCAATAAACTGTAGCTAAAAATAATACTTTAGCTATATTATTGAGAGCTTATTATATGTCTAAACTATTCTAAGTACTTTGCATGGGGGTCACTGATTTAATCCAGAATGACACTCTTATGTTAGTACTATTTTTTTAGTATATATTTTTTATTGATTTCAGAGAGGAAGACAGAGAGATATATAGAAACATCAATGATGAGAGAGAATCATTTATTGGCTGCCTCCTGCACATCCTCTACTGGGGGGGATTGAACCCACAACTTGGGCATGTGCCCTTGGCCAGAATCAAACCTGGGACCGTTTAGTCTGAAGGCTGATGCTCTATCCACTGAGCCAAACCGGCTAGGGCAGGTTAGTACTATTACTAGATCCAATTTACAGACGAGGAAACCAGGGCTCAGTGAGGTTAACTAATTTTCCTTAGGTTATGCAGCTAGTTCAGTGGAGGACTTGTGATTCAGTCTAAGTAACTCAAAACCTGTGCTCCTTACGCCATACCATTTTGCCCTACCTTACAGTGATATTGAGAGAAGTGGGTGAGGAAGTGAATATGGAAGTGCCTCTGCATAGTGTTGGGCACATATTAGGACATGTTACGGTATCAATGGCATAAAGAACTAAAACAGAAAAACAAAATCTCTAGCTATTTAAATAATGGAAATATAGTAGAGGGAATTGCTATATTAGTCAGCTTGGGCTGCAATGACAAAACACTATAATAGTCTAGTCGGCAAACTGCGGTTCGAGAGCCACATGCGGCTCTTTGGCCCCTTGAATGTGACTCTTCCTAAGCCTTAGGAGTACCCTAATTAAGTTAATAACAATGTACCTACCTATATAGTTTAAGTTTAAAAAATGTGGCTCTCAAAAGAAATTTCAATCGTTGTACTGTTGATATTTGGCTCTGTTGACTAATGAGTTTGCTGACCACTACTAGTGGGCTTAAGCAGCAGACATTGATTTCCTCACCATTCTGGAGGCCGGAAGTCCGTCCGACCCGTGCTTGCTGAGAGCCCTCTTCCTAGCCTATGGATGAATCACCTTCTTGTACTTTGCATGGGGGTCACTCATTAAATCCATAATGACACTCTTAGGTTAGTACTATTTTTTAAGTATATATATTTTTATTGATTTCAGAGAGGAAGGGGGAGAGAGATAGATAGAAACATCAATGATGAGAGAGAATCGTTGATGGTTCTCACATGGCAGAGAGAGAAAAAATGAGCTCTCTGGTGTCTTATAAAAAACACTGATCCCATTGGATCAGGGTTTCATCTTTAAGATACCATTTAACCTTAATTACTTCCTGATGCCAAATACAGCTACCCTGAGGCTTAGGGCCCAAACCTGAATTTGGGGAGGGAGAGGACAACATTCAGTCCGTAGCAACTGTTTATACAGATGATAGAAGAAGAAGCCAAACAGGATAGCAAGGTAAACCAGAAATTAGCAACCATAGGAAGTTGCTACCACCCTTTGACTGGAAAGACCGAGATAACGGAACCCATGGCAGGGACCACAGAGGGAAGGATGTCTAGGAGGGGACTCAAGGGCTACTGTCAGAACAGAGAAAGGGAGAAGTGCCCAGGTTTATTCCCTCCTGCCCACTCCAGACTTTTGCCAGTACCTCCCACTGGCTGAAATCACCTAGAGACCAGGAAACAAGGGTGCCTGGGTAATGTAGTTCCTCTGATTCAAAGCTAAGCTGAACGTGGCAAGGACTGCACTGAGCAGACTGGGAAGGCTGTCTTAGCAATGGGAGGTTTCGAGAGCAAGCACACAGGTGCTGAACTCTGATTAAGTTGTAGAAAGCATAACAGATTTAATATTCTTAGGAGACATGGTACAAAGTTTCCTGGGTTTTTTCTGTTTTGACAAAAATTCAAAGCATTTTAGGGATGGAACTTTTTAGGGCTGTTGTTCCTAACTGGGAAGACATTTGCCTCTCAGGATAGTTGGCAATGTCTGGAGATACTTTGATTGTCACAACTGGTGTGGAAGGGTAATGTTACTGGCCTTTAGTGGGTAGAGACTAGGGATGCTGCTAAACATCCTACCATGCACAGGAATGTGCCCCCATAACAAAGAATTATATAGTCCAAAATGTCCATAGTGCTGTGCTTACGAAACCCTGCTTTAGAGAATCACATCTGAATAACATGGCCTTTTGCCCCAGGGTAGGAGGTGCCTGTTATCATGGAGAGTGAACTGCACTGGGGTCAGGAGTCGTTTTAGGCCCGGCTCTGAACTTGATGACTGTGTGATTTTTGCAAGTCACTTAAGTCTCATCAACTCCAAATGAGAACTTTTATCTAGAAGATATTTATCTGCTTATGATATTTTATTGAAGTCTTAATTTTGATCTTTGGTACTGAAGGTAATTATAAGGGAAGGATATTAAAATCAGATTTAAGAGTAAGCTCATCTTTTACCTTCATGCTTCCCAGAACAAACCACAATATTAAAAAACATATTACATTTTATTAAATTACTTGAGAACACAGCAAGAAAAAAATAAAAAGAAACTGTGGTCAAATTGATAACTCAATGTAGGTAGAAATGTTTCTTCCAATTAAGAAAAATGTAGAAATTATCTCCATTATGTTTAAGATTATACAATTGCACTCATTTAGATATATAAAATATATATTATGTTTTGACAAATGCTTCTCAAATCTGTCCATTTTTCTGCTTCCCTGTGG